ATTAATTTGAAATATATTAATATAAATTTATTAAATAAAAAAATAAAATAATAAAATATATATACAGGGGGCTACCAAAGCATTGTGGACACTTTTTGGATCGTAATTACTCAAAATCGGGTAAGTAACCGCAGCACGGATTTCATATCATGTGTTCAGAAGATCACTTGATATAACATACTAAAATTTCGTGCATTTTTGTTAGATCGCGCAGAAGTTATACAAAATTTAGAATCGCTTCAAATTTCGCTCAAATATTGTGTGATACCAAGGTAACATGATGCAATATAAAAAGGATATGTTTGTATGACAGATCAGGTGTAAACTAAAAAAAAAAAATTTTTTTCCCACAAAAATGGGTAGCAAGAAAGATTTAACCGAAGGCCAACAAGGAGCAATAATTTATGGCTACAAACGTGGAGATTCGCTTCGTACTATTGCAGCTGCAGTTGGTTGCTGCAAATCTTCTGTAGGAAACATTATAGAGGAGTACAAGAGGGTGGGTGAGGAGGCAAAAAAAAAAAAGGCCTGGTCTTTCAAAAATCCTATCCGATTCTGACTGTAAAGACCTAAAAGACTTTGTCACCAACAGTAATCGCCATCTTAGTCTTACCCAAATAACTAACCTTTACAACTTCCAAAACAAAAAAACAATTTCTGAAAGTACCATACGTCGTGCATTGCACAACTTAAACTTGTTTTCGTGCGTTGCCACCCCAAAGCCGCTTATCACTGCAGTGAACAAGGAAAAAAGGTATAATTGGGCTCTTGTATATCATAATTGGACTGTTCGAAAGTTTAGACATGTGTTGTGATCGGATAAGACCTATATCCGTCTCTTTTTAGGTTCCCCGGACAATGTGTGGTGTGAACCACATGAAAAATGAGATATTGATTGTTTGGACTGCACTATAAAGCGTAGTCCAGGTCATATGTATTGGGGCTGCTTCTCATATTACAGGGTGGGGGCTCTTGTCCCGCTAGAATCCTCTTGCACTGGTGCCTCGCACCTTGAAATTCTTCGTAAGTATGGTCTCCCGGCTATAAAAAAATTTCCAGGAAACAAAAATCGTGGTCGCCCAATCTTTGTTCAAGACAATGCAAAACTCCACAGGGATACAGAAGCATTGAATTTTTTGGTTAAAAACAAAATTCGTAAGATGAATTGGCCCCCACAGAGCCCGGATCTCAATCCAATTGAAAACCTTTGGGCTGAAGTAAAGCAGTCTATATGCCAAAAAGAGAGGCCGGGTAATCTCAATGAACTGGATGCTCTCGTTAAAAAGTCATGGAAAGATACACCACCAGAACTTTGCCGTCGGCTGGCTGATAGCATGATCAATCGGGTTGATGCTTGCATAGAAGCTGAGGGGGGACCCATTGATTATTAAAATATAATTAGTTTTTTTTTTTTGTTAAAAAAATTTAAAAAAAAAAAAAAAAAAAAAACTAAAATTCGAATTTTCGTACCAATAAAAAAACCACGATTGTGGTAATTTTTGCGTAACTTCTACGCGATCTAACGAAAATGCACGAAAGTTTAGTATATTATATCGTGTGATCTGCCGAACACGTGATATGAAATTCGTGCTGCGGTCACTTACCCGATTTCGAGTAATTACGATCCAAAAAGTGTCCACAATGCTTTGGTAGCCCCCTGTATTTAAAACTATTCAAATCTATACAAGTAGTAGTAGTTTTACTTAATCCAATTTCAAGTATTTTAACTTTATCATAAAAGCTTTTACTTAAATCAGTTTGACAAATAGATTCAAGAGTTGGTTTCTTGGTAGTTAATTTTTTTTGAGATTTCTTCGAACTCTTTTTTGAAGTAACTAAAAAACCTTAAAATATTTCTAAAATAATATAAATTATTTTAGCTATATATTTATTTGAATTAATCAATTTGTAACCATAAGTTATAATAAATTTTTTGTAACTATAACTAAGATCAGGTGTAATGTGAATATCAAAACAATATTTTTTTATAAATAAGCTCTTGCAGTTAAAGTTCAGAGTTAGGGTGAAATTATAGTTAAAGCAAGATATAGTTTATATTAAAATTTAGCAAGGAATTTTTTTTGTTAGAACATAAAAGATGGTTTCATAATCAAATTTTTGAGTTACTAATGATTTTTTTTTTTTGTTTTAATTTCATGTTATATCTGATTTTAAAATTTAATTGGCTTTATTGGATGCGGTTACAGTAACTGTGGTTACAAATTTATTAACTCTATTTATTTATAATATTTCAATATCTAAATAAAATATTAATTTTTTTTTTTTTTTTTTATAATTGGCAGTCTTGCCTTTACTTTATTAGGCTTTATAATATTTTGCTATAAAATATTAAAATTTCTTAGAAGGCTATTCCTTCCAGCATCTAAATTACAAGTATTAGCTCACCTAGTTGTTTATTAAACACCTATGTATAACTTGCTATAGTAAGTTTTATCTTCATACTAACTTGTCTTGCAATTGGATTTATTAATATTTCATTGAATGGTTCTTATGGCCTGTCAAGACTATGAATTAGTTTTCCACCAACTTGCATGTTGTCTACTTATAATCCAACTTAATAGTTTTTTTTTTTTTTTTTTTTTTTTTTTTTTTTTCCTTTTT